AACAACAAGCTACACCTGTCATGCTCCACTCTCGTGAAAAGCAAGAGGAGCAGCATAAATTATACAGTTTCTCTCTCTCTCTCTCTACTGCAGCAGTTGCGTTCGGATCTGTACGGGCCCTTCCGGACAAGTCAGTTAAAATTACACGAGACCCATGACAAACATATCAGATTGGACCCAGACCTGTGACGTTATTTAGAATTCTGGATCCCAACCTGCTCGGGTCCCGAATCGGGTCTCGGGTATTCGGGTACAGGAGGCTCCGTGAAGACCTCTACTATTAACTGAATGCTGACAGTAGCGTAAAGTCCAGCACATAGTTATGTGGTCCTGCTGCTGTGTGTGTGGACATGTGTGTGTGCCTGTGAGTGTGTGTTTGCGCGCGCCCCTGTGTTGTATAACAGGACATGAATGTCCCAATGCCCTGGGCAGGGACACTCTTCTCTGTGTAAGCTGTGGCTCCCTATAGACACATAATATGCCCTTCACGTTTCCCAGCCTCAATAGCCTCATTCTAACCTTGCCGTTCATAATAGAGTTGATTCCCCAGGTGAAAAACTCGAAACCATATGAATTATAGCCCTATAGACTATAGTAAATGTCAGCAGTGTGATTAACATGGTGATACACTTCTGTAGAATTCAACTGGAAATGAGCCAGCTTCGTAAGGGTGTGTGTGTGTGTGTCGCAGCTGGCACAGAACCATATGTTTCTAAGAGCTTGGTGAGAGCTTGGTTGTCCTATGGTTATTTTGCATACAACCTTCCCACAATGTTCTGAGAATGTTGCAGGATACCCAGCTTTTTCTTTTCTTTTTCAGTTTCTTAGATGGGAATTTCAGTATTTTCAACATAACGTTTTCTACAGGTTTCCTCATGGTTCTATTTAAAGTAATGTTCTCAGAATGCTCTGAGAACGTTAAGAAACAATGTTCTTCTGTGGTAATTTCAGTACTTCAAAATAACGTTTTCTGCAGGTTTCCTCATGGTTCTAAGAACATTAAGAGAACTTTCCATAAAAACCACAAGAAAACATTAGTAGTGTTCAAAGAACGTTCTAAGAATGTTATTTTAAAACATATACACTGAGTGTACAAAACATTAAGGACAGCTTCCTATAATTGAGTTGCACCCCCCTCCCTTTTGCCCTCAGAACAGCCTCAGTTCGTCTGGGCATGGATTCTACAAGATGTCGAAAGCGTTCCACAGGGATGCTGGCCCATGTTGACTCCAATGCTTCCCACAGTTGTGTCAAGTTGGCTGGATGTCCTATGGGTGGTGGACCATTCTTGATACACACAGGAAACTGTTGAGCATGAAAAACCCAGCCGAGTTGAAGTTCTTGACACAAACCAGTGCGCCTGGCTCCTACTACCATCTCCCGTTCAAAGGCACTTCCATCTTTTTTCTTATCCATTCACCCTCTAAATGGCACACATACACAATCCATGTCTCAATTGTCTCAAGGCTTAAAAATCCTTCTTTAACCTGTCTACTCCCCTTCATCTGCACTCAATGAAGGGGATTTAACAAGTGGCATCAAAAAGGGATCATTGCTTTCATCTGGATTCACCTGGTCAGTCTATGTCATGGAAAGAGCAGTTGTTCCTAATGTTTTGTACACTCAGTGTACATTCCGTTCTCATCGTCAACAAAACTCTGTCCGTGTCCAACTACCCATACTAGCGTACTACATACTTAAATTGCATACTATGTACTCATTGTTGCATACTATTTAGCATGTACCGTTTAGTAAAAAGTATGCAGTATGCCTCCTGATTGGCTGAGTAGGTGGGGCGGGGCAGAGTGCGGGTAGATTTTTCCAAATTCAACAAACATGCATCGCATTAACCAGCATCATAGTAGCTAATTTCCAATGCGATTCATTTCTCTAAACTCTGAATAGAATAGGAATGGAGTTATAGGCCGACACAGGCTGGTGACTATCACATTCAACCTATACCGTAGCCCATATAGCCCATCTATCCTATTTAAAAAGGACTGAAGACAGAAACAGATCACTTGGTTCCATTTCAACATATTTATTAGTGAAACCAAAGTGCTGTAACATATATAAATCAAATAGCCTAGTACACACACCAAAACTTTGCAAATGTTCAAATCAAAAGGCTATTGCACAGAAAAATGTGGACAGTCGGGTGCATCGCAAATTCAGAACCGCTGGACAACGACATAATAAACTAAAGCACTGATCATTGGGAACGAGATCAGAATGACTGCCAAGGCTTGATCCATAAATTAAATAATTAAATAGGTAGCCTAGCCAGTCCATATGTTCAAATCAAAAGGCCTGATTAACATGACATCAATAATGCCGCCACATCCCGAGTCCGTGGTGCTGACAAATTCAGAAATCAAAAAATGGTTTAGTATTTGGTTTAAAAACTCTGACGAAGGCCAAGAGAACAAGAAACACTTTTCAATGTGAAACAGAAATCCACTTCGGGTAAAAATAAATAAAAAATAAACGTCTGTTTTCAAAGATGTAGCCTACGATCCAATACTCGTGATCATGTTATGGAGAATAAACACGACTTAGCCTACACTACCGTTCAAAAGTTTGGGGTCACTTTGAAATGTCCTTGTTTTCCATGAAAACATACATGAAATGAGTTTGAATAGGAAATATAGCAAAATGCATAGGAAATGTAGTCATTGACAAGGTTAGAAATAATGATTTTTATTTGAAATAATAACTGTGTCCTTCAAGCTTTGCTTTCGTCAAAGAATCCTCCATTTGCAGCAATTACAGCCTTGCAGACCTTTGGCATTCTAGTTGTCAATTTGTTGAGGTAATCTGAAGAGATTTCACCCCATGCTTCCTGAAGCACCTCCCACAAGTTGGATTGGCTTGATGGGCACTTCTTGACATACGGTCAAGCTGCTCCCACAACAGCTCAATAGGGTTGAGATCCGGTGACTGTGCTGGCCACTCCATTATAGACAGAATACCAGCTGACTGATTCTTCCATAAATAGTTATTGCATAGTTTGGAGCTGTGCTTTGGGTCATTGTCCTGTTGTAGGAGGAAATTAGCTCCAATCAAGCGCCGTCCACAGGGTATGGCATGGCACTGCAAAATGGAGTGATAGCCTTCCTTCTTCAAGCTCCCTTTTACCCTGTACAAATCTCCCACTTTACCACCACTAAAGCACCCCCAGACCATCACATTGCCTCCACCATGCTTGACAGATGGCATCAAGCACTCCTCCAGCATCTTTTCATTTGGTCTGCGTCTCACAAATGTTATTCTTTGTGATCCGAACACCTCAAACTTTGATTTGTCTGTCCATAACACTGTGTTCTTTTGCCCATCTTAATATTGTATTTTTATTGGCCAGTCTGAGATATGGCTATTTCTTTGCAACTCTGCCTAGAAGGTCAGTATCCCGGAGTCGCCTCTTCACTGTTGACGTTGAGACTGGTGTTTTGCGGGTACTATTTAATGAAGCTGCCAGTTGAGGACCTGTGAGGCGTCTGTTTCTCAAACTAGGCACTAATGTATTTGTCCTCTTGCTCAGTTGGGCCTCCCACTCCTCTTTCTATTCTGGTTAGAGCCAGTTTGCGCTGTTCTGTGAAGGGAGTAGTACACAGCGTTGTACGAGATCTTCAGTTTCTTGGCAATTTCTCACATGGAATAGCCTTCATTTCTCAGAACAAGAATAGACTGATGAGTTTCAGAAGAAAGTTCTTTGTTTCTGGCCATTTTGAGCCTGCAATCGGACCCACAATTGCTGATTTTGTTATATATTTTTACCTTTATTTAACTAGACAAGTCAGTTAAGAACAAATTCTTATTTACAATGACGGCCTACACCGGCCAAACCCGGACGACGCTGGGCCAATTGTGCGCCGCCCTATGGGACTCCCAATCACGGCCGGTTGTGATACAGCCTGGAATCTAACCAGGGGGTCTGTAGTGACGCCTCAAGCACTGAGATGCAGTGCCTTAGACCGCTGCGCCACTCGGGAGCCCAGATACACACTGATGCTCCAGATACTAAACTAGTCTCAAGAAGACCAGTTTTATTGCTTCTTTAATCAGCACAACAGTTTTCAGCTGTGCTAACATAATTGCAAAAGGGTTTTCTAATGATCAATTAGCCTTTTAAAGTGATAAACTTGGATTAGCAAACACAACGTGCCATTGGAACACAGGACTGATGGTTGCTGATAATGGGCCTCTGTACACCTATGTAGATATTCCATTTAAAATCAGCCGTTTCCAGCTACAATAGCCATTTACAACATTAACAATGTCTACACTGTATTTCTGATCAATTTGATGTTATTTTAATGGACAAAAAAACAAGGACATTTCTAAGTGACCCCAAACTTTTGAACGGTGGTGTACATTTGAACACCACCGCAGAAGCTTCGCTATTCAGCATCTTCTCAATTAAGTAGCCTAGTTTTTTTGTTTGGCTACTTGAAGAGAACTAGGGCCTATCACTCGCAGCCCAACTCTTCGAATGCATTATGGAAAAGTGTGCATCGAATTCTACTAGATGAAGAGCCGAAATAAGTATAACATACTGGCATTTAAACCATACTTGATTTTTGAATCTCACTGACACTGTGCCACAATAAAACAAATTTTTTTGCATGATTAATGCCTAAGCAGATTAATTTACATGATTTTCATTCTCAGAACATTAATAAAACCTCCCAGGAAAACTTTCAGGGAACCATAGTAAAACATTCTCAGAACCTCCCTGCAACCTAAAAATGAACATTCCCAGAACAGGCTAAATGTTTTACTTCAGTTTTTTAGAATAAAAAAAAATGTTCTGTTTTACCGGTCAGGAAACGTATGGCTTCGTTCCCAGAACCAATGGAAAACCAAAAACATACATTCCCACAACTTCCAAGGAACCAAATGTGCTAGCTGGGGCCTGTGTGTGTGCATGTGTGCATGCGTGATTGCAGACACGCTGCGTGTGTGTGATTCTAATCCTTAGTCTCTCTCTCCTTCCAGGTAATGACCTGTTCCTGGTGGCAGTCCATGAGCTGGGCCACGCCCTGGGTCTGGAACACTCCAATGACCCCACAGCCATCATGGCTCCATTCTACCAGTACATGGACACAGAGAACTTCAAACTTCCTCACGACGACCTTCAGGGCATCCAGAAAATATATGGTACTGTACCTACAGGTAACAGCCAAAATATAGGAAACACCAACATAAAGTGTCTTAATAGGACGTTGGGCCACCCACCACAAGCCACCAGAACAGCTTCAATGCACCTTGGCGTAGCAGTGCTGTCGTGTACTCTGTAGTGTGTCCGTGTAAATAGCCTGTTTTCTGTTTTTTTTGTCTCTTTCATGTATATTTCTCAATCACTCTTTTCATCCTTCAACTAAATATACTTTCCTGCAACCCGCCTCACCCAATGTGGAACGGATTCTATTATTTATTTTACCTTTTTATCCAGAACCTCCAGTTGAAACTAGCCAGCTAGCCAGCTAACTAGCTAACTAGCTACTTGCTATTAGCCACCGTTAGCGGTTTTCACCATTGTCCATGGCCTGCACTACCTACCAGCCAGCTCTAGCCTGGACTATTATCGGCAAGTCTGCACTGTCTGCACAGCGCACTATCGACCAAGAACATATCGGATTTTCTGCCGGAATCACTGGACCTGAACACCGGATCATCACAACTAGCTAGCTGCAACCCAATGGATGTTGTTGGCTAATCACCACCGCCACCCAAAGCAAGCACCAGTTAGCCTTGAACTAGCCTCGAGCCAGGCCCATCTCCCGGCTATCTACCTCTCTGTCAACCGGACGGGACCTCCTAGTGTCGACACGGAGCCCCGCCGATCCATCACGACTGGTCTGCCGACGTAATCGTCTGATGTGGTTTCAACAGGCTTCCCGTTGCGACGAACACAAAGATCCATCTGCTAGCCCCGGTCCGCTAACACACACAATCAACAGCCTTGCTTCCTGTTCGCCTGTGCTGTAGCAGCCATTCAAACTGCTCCCGGTCTCACCTATTGCTGTTCACTGGACCTTATGATCACTCAGCTGCACAGCTGATGCCTGCTGGACTGTTCCTTTACACGGTACCCCCATCCTGTCTATCTGTCCTGTTTATCTGTTTAGCCTCAGCCCAAACTTTTGTCGCCATTACCAGTTGTCTTAGCTCTCTCGAATAACACCTGTGATTGCTTTATGCCTCTCTCCCATGTCAATATGCCTTGCCTATTGCTGTTCCGGTTAGTTCTTATTATACAATTTCACTGTAGAGCCCCCAGTCCCACTCAACCAGCCTCAGAGAGCTCCTTTGTCCCACCCCCCATACACGCGGAGACTGGCTCAATCGGTGCCTCCAGTGATGCTATGTCATCGTTACCCAACGCTTAGGTTTACCTCCACTGTACTCATATCCTTCCATCTCCTTGTCTGTACATAATGCCCTGAATCTATTTTACAACGCCCGGAAATCTGCCCCTTTTATTCTCTGTACCCAACGCACGAGAAGACCAGTTCTTAAAGCCTTTAGCCGTATCTTTATTCTACTCCTCCTCTGTTCCTCTGGTGATGTAGAGGTTAACCCAGGCCCTGTAGCCCCCAGTATCACTCCTACTGCCCAGGCGCTATCATTTGTTGACTTCTGTAACCGTAAAAGCCTTGTTTTTTTGCATGTTAACATCAGAAGCCTCCTCCCTAAGTTTGAGTTACTCACTGCGGTAGCACACTCCACCAACCCTGATGTTCTAGCAGTGTCTGAATCCTGGCTTAGGAAGACCACTAAAAACTCCATCCCCAACTACAACATTTTCCGTCTAGATAGAACTGCCAAAGGGGGCGGAGTTGCAATCTACTGTACAGATAGCCTGCAGAGCTCTATCATACTATCCAGGTCTGTGCCCAAACAGTTTGAGCTTCTACTTCTAAAAATCCACCTCTCCAGAAATAAGTCTATCACTGTTGCCGCTTGTTACAGACCCCCCTCAGCCCCCAGCTGTGCCCTGGACACCATATGTGAATTGATTGCCCCCCATCTATCCTCAGAGTTCGTACTGCTTGGTGACCTAAACTGGGATATGCTTAACACCCCGGCCGTCCTACATTCTAAACTAGATGCCCTCAATCTCATACAAATTATCAAGGAACCTACCAGGTACAACCCTAAATCCGTAAACATGGGCACCCTCATAGATATCATCCTGACTAATTGACCCTCTAAATACACCTCTGCTGTCTTCAACCAGGATCTCAGCGATCACTGTTGGCCGCCATTCCTTCCAGTTCTCTGCTGCTAATGACTGGAACGAACTGCAAAAATCTCTGAAGCTGGAGACTCTTATCTCCCTCACTAACTTTAAGCATCAGTTGTCAGAGCAGCTTACCGATCACTGCACCTGTATACAGCCCATCTGTAATTAGCATACCCAACTACCTCATCCCCATATTGTTATTTATTTTGCTCATTTGCACCTCAGTATCTCTATTTGCACATCTTCTTCTGCACATCTATCACTCCAGTGTTAATACTCAATTGTAATTATTTTGCACTATGGCCTATTTATTGCCTTACCTCCATAACTTACTACATTTGCACACACTGTATATAGATGTTCTATTGTGTTATTGACTGTATGCTTTGTTTTATCCCATGTGTAACTCTGTGTTGTTGTTGTTTTTAATTGCGCTGCTTTGCTTTATCTTGGCCAGGTCGCAGTTGTAAATGAGAACTTGTTCTCAACTGGCTTACCTGGTTAAATAAAAAAAAAGTGTCTGTAACTCTACTGGAGGGATGCGACACCATTCTTCCATGAGAAATTCCATAATTCAGTGTTTTGTTGATGGTGGTGGAAAACTTAACGTTATGATTATAACTACTGTTCCCTGAACGAGGGCAACAAGGTACACCATACTATGGGGAGTCACACTCTTGCAACTTCGGTTGAAGGATCTACAATCACGCCTTCTACAGGTGATAAGCGTGAGGCTCGGATTCTCTCCTTCAATTTACTACCACTCTTAACCGAGCCCAGGAACGGATGGTGCGTTTCCCTCCTTCAGGGAACAGTAGTTATAGTCAAAACGTTACGTTCCCTTTCAGTCAGTCAACTTCGGTACAACATAAAATGGGGAAATATAATCACGCCCCAAGCTGACCCCATCGGATAATAAATGAAACGGCCCATGGCAAACCACCCAGACCTGATCCCGCCAGATGCGGCAGTCTGGGTATTGCGCACATGACGTGCTGGCTAGTGACTTTCCCCTGTCCCAGCCGTAAGTCCACTGTGTGCTTTACTGGGAGCAGTGACATCCAAGCAATAAACCTCACAAAAGGGTGTGGTGATGTCCAACTCGCCGCAGCACATATATCTCCTATAGTCAACCCTTTAAACAACGCCCAAGATGCCGCCAGACCCCAGGTGGAGTGGATGTGTACACCGCTAAGTAACCCTTGCCCCTTTATGCTATATGCCAGGGAGATAGCCTCCACAATCCAATGGGAGAGACGCTGCTTAGAGAGCGCACTGCCGCGTGCTGGATTAGCAAAACAGACAAAAAGTTGGTCACATAAACGGATATCCCGGGTCCGTTCAATGTACATGCGTAAAACTCGCACCGGGCACAGGGCATGTAACCTCTGTTTCTCTTCAGAAGCAAAAAGAGGATACAAAAAGGGAAATAGCTCAAAAGCTAAGGACCTGTAGGACATAGCCATGAGCAGGGATTTTTGTAGGAGAGGATCTTCAGATTCACCGAATCCAGAGTCTCAAAGGGGGCCGCACACAGTGCCTCCAAAACCAGTGCCAATTCCAATGTGGGCGCAATAGGTTTAGAGACCGGTCTGAGATGACATACACATTTCAGGAACCGCACCACCAGTGTGTGAGCCCCTGTGAGATTCTGTCAATTCCCACATGACACGCTGAGACAGCGGCCATGCACACTTTTCAAGTGGAGAATGCTTGAAAAGCTCCTGTAGGAACATAAGGACGTCCCTCACAGAGCACTGAAAAGGAACAAGTCCTTTTTCTTGGCACCAGAGCTCAAACTCTTGCAACTTATACACATACAGCCCTCTCGTGGAGGGCGCCCTTGCAGACTGAATGGTAGCAATACAATTCTGAGGTAAACCTCTAGCCATCAGATTTGCCCTCTTAGGGGCCAGGCCCATAGTAACCTGGGACAATAGGTTCCTCCGCAACGGGAGTTTCTACAGATCCCGCCTAAAAGCGAATGATCTCTGCGAACCAAGGCTGCCTGGGCCAACGGGGAGCCACAAGAATCAATGGTAAGCTCCAATGTGGGCTGAATCAGAACCACTGGTCGGAAACGCGTAAAGGAGGGTCAGAGGCCACTGGTGCGCAAGAGCATCTGTTCCCAACGTGGCACTCGGGTCCCTCATCAAGAAAAATAGACGACACTGCACGTTTTCTCGCGAAGCGTAAAGCTCAACGTTGGCCTTGCCGAAAATGTCCCATACCTGTGAAAGCTTCCACTCCTGAGAGAGAGGGTTCCACCTGGATAAAAGATCTGCACCCGAGTTGAGGCAACCTGTAAGGGTTGGTGTGAGGTGTGACCCAGGTGCGGTGCAGGATAGACAGTAGGCAGTAGGCAGAGATGGTGAAACAAGGATCTTTACTGGTGGTCCCGAAGCCAGGATACAAAACAACGGATTTAACACGATAAAAGAAAGTCGGAGCAAATAAATCTCCATAAACAGGCTGACCGCCAAAATACGAAATAGTAACTACGACTGGATAATAAAGAAACAGGGAGAACACTTCTCGAGTACCTGTACATACTTCTCCGATCAGACACTGATTAGTACTGCTGAGCATAGAGAAACTAGCAGAGAAAACTGAGCAAGGGAACACAGGGAAGTGAGGGCATAAATACACAGGTGAACAGGTAGACACAGGTGACACCAATAGGATCATGATTAGTCCAGACGGTGAGTGAGAAGGTGCCTAAGGTTGTCAGAGGAGGACACCTAGTGGATCGCTCCGGAACTGCGACCCCCTCCTGTAACACAACTGGGGACATGCGTCACCCAAAGCGAAAGCATGTGCGCACTGCTCCCCAGCAAAAGGGAGCGAGCCAAGGTTAGGAGGGAGAGAGACAAAGTCTTTCACCATCTGTTGATGCATGGCCCCAGTGACATATTGTCGGTTCTGACCAGCACAAACTGGCCCGACAAAAACAGGGGGAAGAGCCTGATTGCCAGATACTCCAGGTAATTGACATGCAGTGCGGTCTACACCAGTGTCCAATAACCCCGAATTGAGTTGCCTTCATACGGGGGGATCAATCTGTGATGATCGCCTTGTGGGATACAACTCAGCCCATGGGTGCCCACTGACAATAGCAGAGGGTTCCACCACTGGTCCATGGCCCGTAGGCCTGACAGGGACACTCGAAGCGACTAGCTTAGGCTGTGCGATGCGTCCAGGTGAGTGACTAGCACTCAGCGCTGGAAGGGCTGTATCAACTATATTCCCACGGGAACGACTTCTATCACAGAACCCATCATCCCCAGTAGTCATAGGCACATCCCCAGTAGTCAAAACGCACTGTGTGACCCAGCCGAAATTTGGCCAAGCAGAGCCGGAACTTGGACACCCTCCATGGGGATAGAAAAGCGTGATACGTGAGTGAGTCCAGCTCAAAACCCAGAAACGGAATACACTGAGATGGAGTCAGACAGCTCTTTTTCTGGTTTCTTATGAAGCCTAGAGACTGAATACGGGACAGTAGCATGGATGTGTGTAACACTGCTTGCCCCCTTGACTCCGCCACCACCAGCCAATCGCTGTAATAGCCGGCGGCTCTTGAGCATTCTGAGTTTGTAGACTCTGAGGTGCTTGCTGAGGGCACGTAGAATGGGACGCAAAGTCCCATCCCTTTTCATAACCAGGAAATACAGACTGTACCAGCAGTTCCGGATCTTCAACATAGGAACCACTTGGATTGCCTGCTTCTGGAGGGAAGGATATTTACTCCCTCAAAATGGGCGCTGAGGCCTCAGGAACAGTCGATGTGATGACGCTGCAGAAGCGTGGGGGACGCACAACAAATTGTAGCCTGTACACTGACGTCACTTTTCGCATGATCCAGAGTGACACTGCCCATGCTCACCATTGGTCGGAGCAGACAGCGAGACTCCCGTGAAGTACCATCTGAAGGGGCGGGACGCCACCTTGTGGACTGGGAGAGATTGGTTGTTCTTCCATTTCCACCACTTTTGACAACCGTGTGTCTGAACATGGAGAAGGAACACTTTTTTTGTTTGTTATACTTTCTTTTTACTAACGAACACACAAACAAAAAAATGGTCTGGCAGGTACAGCACACATCATACATACATCAGATGAGTTACAATAACACTATCTTTGAATTAGACCATTTTCAAGTACAAAACCCATTTTTCCAAGTATTCCTGTCCTCTCTCCTCATGTGTTCTTAAAGCAAAGGTCAGACACTCCATATAGTGTGTTTCTTTAACAATGTCTACCCATAGCCATTATAGCCTTTTTACTGGCTGCCAGTAGAACCTTCAACACGCACTTGTCTCTATTGTGTAAGTTATCAGGTATTTCACCCAAATACAAATAAATTCATGTTTGTTCTATGTCAAAACCCATAACTTATTTCTCCCCAGTAAGATTCAATAGCGGGGCAGGACCAAAAGATATGAGAGTATTCCGCCCTTGATAGCCCGCATTCTCTCCAACAAGGGCGTTGGGAGTCAGTCTGTTTTGATTTCAGTTTAGGTGTTATGAAGAAACGTATAACATTCTTCCAACAGAATTCTCTCCAAGACCATGACTTGGTAGAGCATAATTGAGTTGTAAATATGTTCAACCATGTTTCATCAGTTATTTCAGTGTTATGTTCCTCCTCCCATTTCTGTTTAATATAGTTTGTATAGTGTTTCTTTGAGGATAGAATACCCAGGTAAAGATTTGAAATCATTTTTTTAATACTCCCCAAGTTGTACTTGGATCAATTTCTGAGGTGCCCGAGGGTCAATCACTTTTATTTATTTTAATGCGGGCCAACTCAGCAGTTTGACCTCTCTGTCTAAATGAATTTGCTTAACTATCCTAAACCATGTCTTGAGAGAGAAATTAATCCACTGATTTTGTCTATTGTATATTTCTGTTACCATGTCCTTGTTACCCAAAACTGACTATATGGGTATCTCTGTCAAAGTAGTTTCAATGTCTTTCCATTTGGATTCGTATTCTGAATTGCAGCAACAGACCAGAGGCCTCAATTGGGCTGACACAAAATAATATTTTAGGCTTGGTAAGGCCATGCCTCCTCTGTCTTTTGGTAATTGTTGTATATCTAATTATTGGTCTCTTACTGTTCCAGATAAACCTTGATATCTGTTTATCCCATTCCCTAAACTGTTTAGGTGGGATTTCTATGGGCAGTGATTGGAACAAATACAGTAACCTTGGCAGGATATTAATTTTGTTTGTTTCAATTCTACTACTAAGATCCCTTAGGAAGTGAATTCCATCTGTCCAGGTCATCTATATATTTTCTTGTTGATGGGAATGTAATTCATGTCATACAGTTTGGGTGTATCTATTGGTAGATTTACTCCAAGATATTTAATGTATGGTATTTTTGGGGTATTTTATTAGGATCCCCCTTAGCTGTTGCGAAAGCCAAAGCTACTCTTCCTGGAGTCCACACAGAACATGAAACATTAATAGACAATAACAGCTCAAGGACAGAACTACATACATTTAAAAATGGCACTCATAGCCTACATATCAATACATACACACAAAATATCTAGGTCAAATAGGGGAGAGGCGTTGTTCCGTGAGGTGTTGCTTTATCTGTTTATTTAAACCAGGTTTGTTGTTCATGAAGAGGTCCACTGGAAGTTCTACCTGCTCTTCAGCTCTTGCTGTGGGGTATAATTATATACTAGGGCTTGAGTCTTGTGTACGTTAAGCACATACGCTGAATATGTTCCAAATGTTTGTAAAGCATCCATCAGTCTAGGTACACTTGAACCTGGGTCTTTAAGGAATAAGAGAACATAATCAGCATACATGCATATCTTATGTTCACTGCCTCTTATTGTTATTCCCTCTAAAGATGGGTGGTGTCTTATTGCCTGTGCTAACGGCTCGATGTACAAGGAGAAGAGAGTGGGTGAAAGATTACAGCCTTGTCTTGCCCCTCGTTCTATACTTATCGTTCGTGACAAATGTCCATTCATCTTTATTCTAGCAGTCGGACATGAATACAGTGTTTTGATGCACTGTATCACTTCTTTGTTGAAACCAAATCTATCCATAACTTGGAATAGATATTCCCTTCCCACTGAATCAAATGCTTTTTCTGCATCTAGAGTGATTAATATAGCACTCGTCTTATCCTGAGTGATGTGGCCCATGACATGTATTGTTCTCCTTATGTTGTCCTGTGTCTGTCTATTTCGTATGAAACCAGTTTGATCCCTGTCAATCAATTCTGGGATTATGTCCTCCATTCTTTTGGCTATTATTGATGCATACCATTTATAATCCATGTTAAGACTTGCGATAGGTCTATTGGAACTGCATTCCTTCTTATCTTTACCCTCTTTTGGAATTACAGATATTATGGCTTCTCTCCACGATGGTGGTAGATCCCCCTCGCGCAGATTCCAGTTAAAACAGGCCTGAAGTAGAGGTGTTAGTTGTACTCAGAAGGCTTTGAACCATTCTGAAGGAAAGCCATCAGTGCCTAGGGATTGGTTTGTTTTTAGATTAGATATTGCATTATTCATTTCTTCAATGGTTATTTCTGAAGTAAGTCTATCATTTTGCTCCGTCCCAATTGAGGGGAGCTCAAGTGAGTTCAAAAAATGCTCTATTGTCTGTGCATCTGCCTTCTCTGGTTGCTTGTACATATTTGTATAGTATGTGTCAAATGCATTCTGTATTTCATCCAATTTGCATGTCATCTTCTTTGTTTTGGGGTCTTTTATTTAGAAATTTGTATTCTGTGCTTGTTGTTTTCTGAGTCTCCATGCTAGTAAGTTTGATGCCTTTGAGCCTGCTTCATAATATCACTGTTTCAGGACCTAAGCTTTTTCTCTACTTCTTCAAGATAAATCTGGTCAATTTCCTGTTTTACCTTTGGAATCTCACGTAATATAAGAGGGTCTTTGAAATGAAAATGAGATCGTTCTAAGCTTCCTAATGTTTCCTGTCATTTCAGCAGTTTCTGTGATTTAATATTTTTCTTGAAAGATGATGTGGCTATGATCTTCCCTCTACTAACTGCCTTAGCTGCATCCCACGATGTAGCAGGACATACTTCCCCGTTATCATTATTCTGCAGATTGACGTTCAATTCAGTCTTTATTGATTCCTTGAATGCTGGATCATTCAGCATGCGTGTATTAAGCCTCCATAGAGTATTTATTGGTTTGCTATCAAGGTGTAGAGTTAGGTAAACTCCATTATGATCTGATGTCGCTTTGCCCGATCCTACAATCCTTAAGCTTGTGCCTATCTGCACTGTAAATGAAAAGTAGTCTAACTTGGATTATTCAGTGTGGCGGGCTGAGTAAAAAGTATATTCTCTATCTGACATATGGAAGTCGCGCCATACATCAAACAGTCCTAAATCCTGTAATATCCTATTGATCTTTATAGCAACCAGACTAATTTTCCTATTTAGATTTGTGCTGTCCAATTTTGAGTTTCAAATCATGTTAAAATCCCCTCCACAGATAAGCGTGCCAGTGGTTTCTGTGGCAATTAAATCAAACACATTCCTAAAGAAGACCATGTCACTCCCCGGGGGCGCGTAAAGATGAAATAATTTAACTTCCTAGTGATCCAGTTTACATTTAGCAAAGATAAATCTACCCTCCTTGCCTTCTATTTCTGATATAAATTAACTGAATTTGGGATCAAAATTGCAACGCCCCTTCTACTCATTTTACTCCTGAGTGGCGCAGCAGTCTAAGGCACTGCATCTCAGTGCTAGAGGCGTCACTACAGACCCTGGTTCAATTCCAGGCTGTATCACAATCCGGCCGTGATTGGGAGTCCCATAGGGCGGTGCACAATTGGCCCAGCCTCATCCAGGTTTGGACGGGATAGGCCGTCATTGTAAATAAGAATTTGTTCTTAACTGACTTGCCTAGTTAAATAAAGGTTAAATTAAAAAATTTAAATAAGAAGAGAAAAAGGTATTCCTATATCCCATTTTCTTGAGTTTCTCGTGTTCAGGACGGGATAAGTGAGTTTCCTGCCAGAATAATATGTCAACTCTCTCCCGTTTCATCTTTGCTGTTACCTTACTTCTCTTGATGGCACTCCCCAATCTGTTTACATTGAGACTTACGACCTTAAACCATATCAACCTAAAAAAGAACGAAAAAACAAGAACAATAAAAAAGTTTACCAAAGTGGGGAAATACTTTGCTATAAGGACTCCCATGTCAGAGGACTGTGTCTTGCCTCTGGAGTTTGATGGGATGAACCTGACCGCTGGAGGGGCCCCTCGCTCAAATGTCAAAATGCGTGACACAAACAAAAACTGTTGGAACCAAAAATAAAAATGGCGCCTTTTTCGTTGCTTACAAGAGAAAAATGTATAGGTCATGCGCTAGGGGTGTGAGTATAATGTAATAGGGGATAAATAATGGAACAAAAACAGTCTGGTCTGTATCTCATAGCCTACTATGTGTTAATATAAGCTATTAATTATATGCAGTCCATTCATTGAATCCTCCCCATGATATGTCCTTCTGTCACCTCGTTGTCACTGTGTCATTCATCCTTAGCTAATAGATCTGTTATTAACGTGACCATACATAATGTGTCCATAAAGGCCACATACTCTTGGCTACTTACCCTTACACAGCAGTGGGGGAAAATAGGAGAGCTGTTTTACCTCTTGCAATGTCAACCATAACGGCCCAATATGTCTAACAGCTCGCGGTAACTGTTCAATTGGATTCATTGTCTTCTATCTTCTCTCTTGAATGTGAACGTCCTCTCGCTGAAGTGACTTCCCTCTTTCTCTGCGACTCTGCTCGCCGACCACGGTCCATTGGAGCTGCTTGAGTCTTTCCGCCAGTGAAGACTCCTTTCTCCTGGGGGAATACTCCACTGGGATGCCCCTCGACTTCAGGTCCTCAACCGCCTCGTCTGCATGCTCGTATGAAACCGGGCCATTATCCAGAAATACTCAAATCTTTGCCTTGAAATGGTGTTTGGAAGCAATTCCTTTTCTCCTTTAGTGCCTTCTTGATAGGGGTGTATTCCTTCCTTCTTTTCAGTATCTCTCCCGCATAGTCATGATCAAAGAAAACTATTTGACTGAGAATTATAGGAACCGTACAACTATGGATCTTGGTGGGGCGCCGCTGGGGGGTTTTGGGGCCAGAGCTCGGTGTGCTCTCTCGATTCCCAAGTCAGTGTCGTCTTCAAGTATTTATTTGAATAGACCCTCCACGAATTTGGGCATCAAGACTTTTTCTGTGCCCTCAGCCACAGAATGTTATTACGATGTGAAAAACCTTCCGAGTTCTGTCACTTTTGCCTGTAGTGCGTGATGGCATTTCAAAGACTGTACAAGTGCGTCTTTGACCACAGTGTTACATGTGTCCGTTTCCCCAATGCGCTGTTCTGCATCCCCCATTCTTGTAGAAGTTCTTCTTTGTTTTCTTCGAGTTTCTGGTTAATGTCCTTCTTGAACTCATTTAGTTCTTTTTGTACATCTTCTCGAAGTTCCTTTCGAAAGCCAGCGAGCACCTCCCGCAATTCCTCCTTTATCACCTCACGGAATGAGGGTTGTTTTGCTGCTGCTAGCTCGTTTTCGCTAGCATTAACCATCTCTGTTTCGTCTACGATTTTAGCTTCTCCTATCTTGTTACGGACTATCGTTGTAGCTCCATAACCATTTCCTACTTTCCCCTTTTCCATTTTAGTGTAAGTTACTTTAATACTCAGAGTAAATATTTTAATTTATGGGGAAAATACCCAACCGATATGCAGTACGAAAAATCAGGCAGCCATTTCCTAAATTGCGTCACCGGAAGCCCAGAGAAGGAAAACTTTTCATAAAACTTAAATACAGGAGACAACAGTTTTAAAACCCGTGAACAGTGTGGAACTCACTTGAAAAATGGGTGTTTATATGCCAAGGTTTGCCTAAAGCCCGGCCCACTCTGGGTCCGGCTATCCCCGATTGTCCGTGCCATTTGGGGTACTGTTGTCACAACGAGCCTCACTCGGTTTAGGCGGTAAAATGCATTCCAGTAACCGGCTGTCACCCAGAGCTGCACCGCACGCATAAAAAATTGACCCAGGGAAAAAACTTTATCATGGAGTTTACTCTACCGACCAGTGATAGGCACTGGCGACAAAGTGCCTTGTAACCTAGTTGGAAATGGGACAGACAGCTCTAAAAAACGGACCCCTTTTGTTGTAGCAGACAGGGGCGATTCGTAAATTAATCTTATTCCCAGGAATGAAAAGCGTTGAACTGGAGACAGACAGTTCATTTGGGGGGCTCATATGAACCATAGAGACTGCGTGTGGGATAAAAGCGTGGTCGTGTCCAACCCTGCTCGTTCCCTCGACTCCATTACCAACAACTAATCGCCTATATAGCCCATAACCTGTATCACTAGACACCTCATAGGGACTAGTGAGCTACAGGCAGGAAATCAGGAATGATACCAGTAATTAGCCACCAATGGGGGAGGGACGCCCCCTTGCGGACAGTGACCCAACTTGTCACTCTCATCCTGGGGACACTGATATCCCCTTGAACCCTATGAACACCGTTGAACATGGGGTAACAGAGGGGGCAGCATTAAACATGGACAAGCTTCCAACATACGTTGTAATTTCGTGAGACTGTATAGCCTGCATGAAGCCCGGCCCCTTTACGGGCACAGGGGGCTCTGGCAATGGCTGACGTAGTAACCGTTTTACCTAAAGTGGGGGCACTGTTGTCACAGACCCAAGCCAAAGCCCCTCGCTCCGGGGGTTACCCCAGCCAAGTGCCCGGGGGGATACTTCTTCATCGGCGGTGCACAAAAACTCAGTTTCCTTCACTCCCTCCAACTCCAGGAACTGAAAATAGGAATAGGGTTGCCATAACGCCAGGGGAAAGCTAGTAAGTTTCACTCGCCGGAAGTTAAGCATGCTAGCCAATGTTAGCCAGGAGGCTTTTTAGCATAAGCTAGGTTAGCTAGCCTCTTTGACCGCAGCACAGTCAGTTTAGAATAACTAAGCAACTTAACGATACATATACTAAACAAGAGAGCTACCCCAGCAACTCCACCGTGGGGAGACAAGAATAGCTCGTAATAGCTAGCTTGCCTCAGTGAGTTAGCCAACCTGGCTTGTTTAGCTAGCCCGGTCTCGAAAGTCCACATAGGAACGGATCACTGAGGTGGGACCGGACCCTTCATCAACAAGTCTGCGAAGAGAGGCAAGCGATGCTTGACCGAGGCAGACACAGGCGGCGGGAGGTACCCACCGAACCTGGCCGCCCCTCTCTTCGAATAGCCTCCCGTAACCGATGACAGAGTGCACAGGTGCCGGGTTGGGCACAGGCAGCCACCACATACCCCACGCCCAGGCAGACAAGACATTTGCTCTGACCACCCATTCCATCCCAGCCGAGGTACCAGCATCCGGGAAAGGAAAGTCACCATCAGTAATTCCAAGCTTCCTCAAGAATGCTACACATCTTTCCAGGAAGTTTGTAAGCAGTATGTGGCAATGCGCACACGGACTGGTTCAATTGAGGGCCGCCTGAGCGTGCTCCAAACCGAGACAAACTACACATAGATCTTAAGTATCTTTCAGAGAAATGCTATAACCACATGACTGGGGGCATGATCTCGACCCCATACCCGGCTTAGCCTTTGTCGTCTCTGTCGTTTTCTTGGCCATCTTAGTCATTGCACCAGCAAATTGAAGAATAACTAACTATTTGTGATTAGAAAACGTATGAGAACCAGTACAGCGTCCAGGGGGTGAGCACTCTACCACTATGGGACAGTTTAGTTAGCGCAACGTAAGACAGTTTCATTTTCCAATTGTTTGTTTTAGTAGCGTGAATCGTTTCTGTTTTTACATTTTAGTCATTTAGCAGACACTCTTATCCAGAGCGACTTACAGTAGTGAGAGCATACATTTTCATACTGGTCCCTCGTGGGAATCGAACCATGCTCTACCAACTGAGCCACACGGGACCACACCGCGGTGAAGAGTGGAATAATTGAAAGAAAGAATCCGAGCATCACACTTATCACCTGTGGAAGGCGGGGCTTCTCACGAGGCGTGGATTTCATTGACCTTGTCAGGCGTGATTGTAGATCGTTCAACCGAAGTCGCGAGAGTGCAACTCCCCATAGTATGTTGTACCGAAGTTGGCTGACTGAAAGGGAACGCTCCAGAATCTCCCATAAATGTTCAATTGGGTTGAGATCTGGTGACTGAGACACACACACACACCCTTTAAACCCCCTATGCTCCTTTGAAACCTCTCTTTCAAAGTCACTGAGTTCTTTTTTTTATACATGACCCTAAGCATGATGTGATTTTAATTTCTTAATTAACTCAGGTTCCACTCCTGTGTGGAAGCACCTGCTTTCAAAATACTTTATATCCTTCATTAACTCAAGGGTTTCCTTTATTTGGGCAGTTACCTGTATCTATGGAATATTATATTATAGTAATGTCCTCAATCTGTTTAGTACACCAAATCTACACCAAGTAGTATAATAATAGTCTTGTGTATGTAATTTAAAAAACATTTGTTTAATTGTTTTCATTGAAGGAACAAATGTTCAATGACAATATGTATATTTTTTACGCCCTTAGCTAGTTAGCTGGCTAGGCTAATGTTTCTCATTCATCTCCAGGTCCACCAGACAGGGCTCTCCAGCCCACCAGGGCTCCACCCACGGCCCCTCCCCCACGCTTCCACCCCCCCTTGGAACCCCGTAAGCATGACCGCCAGGTCCGGCCCCACCGCCCTCCTCAGGGCGCCAAACCCTCCAACCCCTACGCCAAACCCAACATCTGTGACGGAGGCTTCAACACCGTGGCCATCCTCAGACAGGAGCTGTTCGTATTCAAGGTAGGTTGGCATGCACAGATACTGTATAATGTACACTTGTCTAGCCCATAAAATCTAATAGACAAAGTGTTAAAAAGAAATTGATTTTGCTTTCCGGTTCCGGTGGCATACATTGAAAAGTGTGGCTTTTTCGCGGCTTTCTTTTGCTAATTACTATAAATTAATGGACTTTTTTCCTAAAACTTGTCAATACTAAACATCATATTAAGGTGTGGGACATTCATTGTGTGACAAGGAATAACTAGCAGGTCTATTACGCTCCAGCAGCTAGAATTTGTCTGTCCACAATTCGACAGTGGGAATATGGCGTCTCTCAATACCAGACTTTACCAGATTGTTCGTGAGGGGGGAACGACCAATGTGTGAGTTTCCCTGTGGGGTCCTGCTTTTTGTTTTACATCCATGGGCTTATTAACACTAAAGATAATAATTACATCTTTAATACTACGTTTTTTGGGGGGGAAACAATGGCAACACTAGCTATTCTCTCTTGGAATGTGAAAGGCCTAAACTCAACTATTAAACGTTCCAGCTGTCTTGATATCCTAGAATAGAAACCATATTGACATAGCAATGCTCCAAGAAACACACCTGCTACAAAAGGACGCACATAGAGTAGAGAACTATTTGTACAAACTGGCTGCGTTTTCATCAGCCCCAAACAAAACTAAAGGTGCACCCAAGGGATTTTTTACAAATATTTAAATATACTTAAATCATACTTCATTAACATATTTTAAGTATATTTAAAATAATCTAAATGTGAACTATTTTAAATACATTTAATGCATTAATGTCAATTTTATTTGTATTTTATTACCATTTAAGTATATTAAATACATAAAACAATATCTAAATTGGGGCCATTTTTTGGTACTTAAGTATATTCTTAGTATAATAGATAATGAGCAAAACAAATATACTTTGAATACACCGTAAGTACATTTTATGTGTATTTCTCATAAATTAAGATGTATGTTAGGAATATTTTTCTTCTGTATATTTATTTATATTATTATTTTCACTCTGTCATTTACATCATTATTGTGGAGTCACCTCAATGTTGTTGATCCAGCCTCAGTTTTCTCCCATCACAGCTATTGAACTCTGTAATTGTTTTACAATCAATCACCAATGGCCTCATGGTAACATCCCTTAGCAGTTTCATTCCTGTCCTGCAGCTAATTTCAGAAGAACAACTGTACCTTTGCTATGTCTGGGTAGTTTATTACAGAATCCACAGCATAATTATTAACTTGACCATGCTTAAAGAGATATTCGATGTCTGATTTTATATTGTTACCGATCTATTAATCGTAGCCCTTTTATGAGTCTTTTGAAAGGCTCCCTCATCTTTGTAGTTGAATCTGTGCTTGAAATTCAATACTTGACTGAGGGGCCTTACATATGTTGTATGGGGGACAGAGGAAGGGTTAGTCATTAAAAAAATAATGTCAACCCCTATGACTTCACACAGATCCATGTAACATATTCTGTGATTTTGTTAAGCCAAATTGTACTCCTGAACTAATTTAAGCTTGCCTAAACAAAGGGTCTGAATACTTATGCAATGGCTGTAGTTTAGTGATCTAATTTGTATTGTCTATTTTTTACTTTGACATTACAGAGTATTTTGAGTTCATTGTTTTTTTTGTTTTTTTGTTTTTTTGTTGACAAGAAATGACAATTAAATCAATTTTAATCCCACTTTTTAACACAATAAAATGTGAATACAAGGGGTATGAATATTTTTGCAAGGCACTGTATAATTATAGTGTACTTGATCACTCACAAGCAGAGTTTCATAAAAAAAATCAATGCTTCAACTTAAAAACAACTCTAAGTGTATTTTGAATGAATATACTAAATTACAATTAAAGCGATTGAAATTGAAGTACAGTGATGATAGTGAGCATATAGTATACTTAAAGACTGAAAAACAATTAATTTAAAGTGCACTTTTAATAAGTGTGTTGAAGTGTAATAATATTATATGTATTTATAGTATACTTAAGATATACTAGAAAAATACATCTCGTATTTGAAGTATATTATTGTTTTTTTTTGTATATTTAAGTATACTTTAGTATATTTTAGGATACTTGTAATATATTAAAATATACTATTTTGTTTCGCTTGGGTAATCATTATGATACATAAGAAATAAAAAATTACCATCTTGGGTAAAGGCAAAGACCAAGAAGGCAGAATCACTTTCCTTAAATGTATCCATAATGGAAAGAAAATGGCCTTTATTAATGTGTATGCTCCAAATTCACATGATCCTACGTTTTTTGATTCTCTGAGCAGCATATTGTTAGAATTAAGTGAATTCCAACTGGTTATTGGGACAAACATGAATGCCATTCTGGACATGCGGGACAAAACTAATAAGACCAACAACAATCCAGAGACAACCAAGGCTCTCCAACATATACTCTCTGATTACAACCTCATTGATGCCTGACTAGCTCATAACCCTAAAGCAAAAGAGGACACTTTCTATTAAAATAGGCACAAGACAGTCTCCCGTATCGATTTCATGCTATTATCTACTCCTGTATTTTCTTTCATCAAGAAAATAGAAATTCAACATATTAGCATATCTGATCATCATGCTTATTAATGCTAGATACAAATGTCTGAATCTTCTAAAAGAGACACAAGATGGTGCTTTAATGTTTCCTTACTACAAAATCCTACTTTCTGTGAACAATTTGAAACTGAATTAAATTAATTCATAATGATTAACAGAAATTCAGTCGATGATCCTCAGATTTTATGGGATGCCATTAAAGGTTTTATTAAAAACAATGCAACTGCATTTCATCTGGGCTGAATAAATCACAATTAAAGAAGATTGTTGTTAGAGCATTCTTAACAAACACTTTTTTCAGACTAGGTAGCGACTACTCTTTTCAAAGTCAAGACAAATCAAAATCTATTGACTCAACCTTTACTTTCATGGTAATCGACCCAGTCATCTACTGGCTAACAAGCTTTGCAGTAATGATCAATTAGCGGATATTGCAACTATTGAATCTGAATCAGGTGAATTAATATCAGAAACAAAATTAATCAACCAAAGATTCTCCTGTTTCTATAAAGAATTGTACACCTCTGATTGTACAACCACACCAAGCCAGATTGAGTCATTTTTAAAAGCTATAAGAACTCCTCAACTTTTCTCAACTGAAGAAGCCAGCTTGCTGGGAGCCCACATCTCTCACCATCAACTCAAAAGGGCATTGGATAACATGAATGAAGACAAATCACCTGGTTGTGACGGTATTCCTCCTGAGGTCTATAAATTTGGAACCAATTAGGTCCACTGCTACTTGAAATGATTAACACAGCCGTTCACAAAGGTTCATTTTGAAGGGATGTAAATACAGCACTAATTTTGTTTTTATTTCAAAAAGGTAAGGACTCCACCCAGTGCTCTCACTATCACCTTCTATCTTTGATAAACACAGATATTAAATTACTTTCAAAAATTATACATTTCTTTAAATTGAAAATTCTGTGAACTGTCTTGTGTAAGTTTTAAATTGACACAATACCTGTTAGCAAAGGTGTCAGTCTTGCATGATGTCTACTTTGATGTTAATTAGCATTTTTGAGTTTGAGAGTAAATAAAACCTAATATATTGACTAAAGTCACCTTGTCCGAGAGAGATTTACATGATTATCAAAACGTCACGCCAGGTAAGCCTACACGAAACACAGCCCTTATTTTAAGTGTTTCTAATATTTCCTATGGGAAAAATTAATGGTGGAAAAATGATTGGAACCATTTCCCTGTTTGAACGCTAGATTTTATGGTTATTATGACACCTCCACTGTGGGGCTCTATATATACCCTGCCATCTCCCTCAGAGCATTAAAACTCATGGTACCCTTCGCCAGCTCATATCTGTGTGAATCTGGATTCAGTGCTCTCGTCTGCATTAAAACCAAATATCGATCCAGGTTGGATGTGACAGCAGAGATGAGGTGCACACTGTTGACCACGCCCCCTGACTTTGGATGGAGACATGTTGGCTGGGTGGGGTTGGGGGAATGGGATGTGAGGTTGGGGGTGGATGTCACGACTTCCTCCGAAGCTGCCTCCTCTCCTGGTTCGGGCAGGCTTCGGCGTAGCTCGGTTGAGTTCCGTGTATTTTGTATTGCCGGGGTATATTTTCCCCGTGTGCCTGTTTGGTTCCAGTGCGCACTGGACTGTTTGACCCAATTCCGGAATAAACTCTGTATTCGGTGATTACCCTACAGGTTTTATAAAGTTATAATTTGAAATGGATAATGTACCTGTAACCACAACCCCCCCCCCCCCCCCCCCCCCCCCCCCCAGTGGAATCAATCACGGCTCATTTTAGGGAATGCGACGAAGCAGGTTTCAGAGTTTGGCTTACACTATTACAGAGAACGGGATGAAGATAATGTGTTTTTGTCTGCACGTGTGTAGGACCAGTGGTTCTGGAGGGTGAGGGACAACTCAGTGGTCCCTGGCTACCCCATGCAGATCAACTACTTCTTGAAAGGCCTGCCTGCCAAGATCGACGCCGTCTATGAAAACAGCGAAGGGAAGTTTGTCTTCTTCAAAGGTGAGCAAAAGAGAGGAATGAGAGGAAAGAAGGAGAGGGGGGGGAGATGGAGGAGATGAAAGGGAGCTTATTTTACTCTTGTATCAGCAGAAGGTAGCATTACATTTGAAGGGTAGTTCGAGGAGAGCAATTGAGAGAAAAAGACAGAGCAAAGCAGTTTGTCACAATGTCATATTGATAAGTACAAGAGAATGCCAATGCAATTAGTAGAAATATGGTTTATATGTTCTAAATAGCATCCATTTTGTACTGTATGATAACGGGTGAGAGTTCAGCCCCTCCTCCATCCCTCCATCTCTCCATCTATCCTTCCCTGCATCCCTCCATCAGGCAGATTAACATGACATCTGTCACCCAGCAGGATCACAGAGAGCATCATGCTTTATTTATTCCCTCGTGGAGGAGCTACTTACTGGACTGGACAAATGTATTGACTGTCCAGTATCCAGATGACCTTTCCCCAGAGCTTCCTATACAGTTAATCTCTTTCCGTAAAGTGTTGAGACGAGCAATTAAGGAGAATGAGAGGCTCAATTAAAGATGTTACACAACTGCAGTATTTGAAGCACCACTCCCTTCTGCCCAGTTTCCCTGATGTTGCTACAGCATAAAGCTGTTTTTACCATCCCTGTAACTGTCACTTCTGCGGAGAGATCGTTTTCTAAACAAAAACTCATAAAGAACCATAGAAGCATTAGACTCTCGGTCTGATACAGTGAGGGAAAAAAGTATTTGATCCCCTGCTGATTTTGTACGTTTGCCCACTGACAAAGAAATGATCAGTCTATGATTTTAATGGTAGGTTTATTTGAACAGTGAGAGACAGAATAACAACAAAAAAATCCAGAAAAACGCATGTCAAAAATTGTATCAATTGATTTGCATTTTAATGAGGGAAATAAGTATTTGACCCCCTCTCAATCAGAAAGATTTCTGGCTCCCAGGTGTCTTTTATACAGGTAACGAGCTGAGATTGGGAGCACACTCTTAAAGGGAGAGCTCCTAATCTCAGTTTGTTACCTGTATAAAAGACACCTGTCCACAGAAGCAATCAATCAATCAGATTCCAAACTCTCCACCATGGCCAAGACCAAAGAGATCTCCAAGGATGTCAGGGACAAGATTGTAGACCTACACAAGTCTGGAATGGGCTACAAAACCATCGCCAAGCAGCTTGGTGAGAAGGTGACAACAGTTGGTGTGATTATTCGCAAATGGAAGAAACACAAAATAACTGTCAATCTCCCTCGGCCTGGGGCTCCATGCAAGATCTCACCTCGTGGAGTTGCAATTATCATGAGAACGGTGAGGAATCAGCCCAGAACTACACGGGAGGATCTTGTCAATGATCTCAAGGCAGCTGGGACCATAGTCACTAAGAAAACAATTGGTAACACACTACGCTGTGAAGGACTGAAATCCTGTAGCGCCCGCAAGGTCCCCCTGCTCAAGAAAGCACATATACATGCCCAACTGAAGTTTGCCAATGAACATCTGAATGATTCAGAGGAGAACTGGGTGAAAGTGTTGTGGTCAGATGAGACCAAAATGGAGCTCTTTGGCATCAACTCAACTCGCCGTGTTTGGAGGAGGAGGAATGCTGCCTATGACCCCAAGAACACCATCCCCAGGGTCAAACATGGAGGTGGAAATATTATGCTTTGGGTGTGTTTTTCTGCTAAGGGGACAGGACAACTTCACCGCATCAAAGGGACGATGGACGGGGCCATGTACCGTCAAATCTTGGGTGAGAACCTCCTTCCCTCAGCCAGGGCATTGAAAATGGGTCGTGGATGGGTATTCCAGCATGACAATGACCCAAAACACATGGCCAAGGCAACAAAGGAGTGGCTCAAGAAGAAGCACATTAAGGTCCTGGAGTGGCCTAGCCAGTCTCCAGACCTTAATCCCATAGAAAATCTGTGGAGGGAGCTGAAGGTTCGAGTTGCCAAACGTCAGCCTCGAAACCTTAATGACTTTGAGAAGATCTGCAAAGAGGAGTGGGACAAAATCCCTCCTGAGATGTGTGCAAACCTGGTGGCCAACTACAAGAAACGTCTGACCTCTGTGATTGCCAACAAGGGTTTTGCCACCAAGTACTAAGTCATGTTTTGCAGAGGGGTCAAATACTTATTTCCCTCATTAAAATGCAAATCAATTCATATAAATTTTTTGACATGCGTTTTTCTGGATTTTTTTGTTGTTATTCTGTCTCTCACTGTTCAAATAAACCTACCATTAAAATTATAGACTGATAATTTCTTTGTTATTGGGCAAACGTACGATATCATCAGGGGATCAAATACTTTTTTCCCTCACTGTATATGCTTTTGAACACCTGAGTAAACTCCACTCATTGCACTGGCGCTGTCGTAGCCTTGACCACGGCATTTGTTCACTGATATCCCATTTCTTTCAATCAGTTTATTTTTTTCAAGGCCTGGGGCACTTTTTCAGTCACATTCCTGAAGCCCAAGAAACAAACACTTAGCTTCCTAGTACATATTCAAATTAAAACGGTTTATAACTGACTTTTTGGAGGGTTACTGTAAAAATGATTAAATAAATAAAATAGACATCAAGGACAGGCGGATGGGCCCCCAGAGGTGTGGGCCCCCCGCCTTGCAGAGGCTGCGGGGGTGTCCAGTACGCCAGTGTAATAAGCCTTCATTATTGGAATGAATTAAGTAGCATCAATAGCACCGATACTGCTCACAGTGTTACAGCAAAAAGCAAGGGATATTTCTTAGCAAAGTGTAAAACATATAATGTTTGCACCCAGGCTCTGTTTGTGATTACTGGATAATTATGACCACTGATCCATTTGTGTCTGGGGTTTTTTAGGGAACCGCTTCTGGGTGTTCAAGGACACTACTCTGCAACCCACTTACCCTCAGGATATCTCTCTGTTTGGAAGTGGGATGCCCACCCAGAGTATAGAGACCGCTGTGTGGTGGGAGGATGTGGCAAAGACATACTTCTTCAAGGGAGACAGGTCTGTTTTACCTTTTCATTTCTCCATGACACCACATTGGTTTGGTTCATAGTGAAGATAGAGTGTAGCTGATTATAGAATTGACTGGCAGGCATTGATGTCAAGGGGCCTGGATGCTATGGAGGCTTTGAGACCATCTATGCGTTACATTAGATTTGTTAGATTGTGAATTAGGTTATACATTATACTGTATTCGTTTTTATCAATGACAATGATACAGGCTAGCTGATATAGAATTGACTGATATTGGCACGAATGTTGAGGGATTGTCTGCTAAGGAGACCATCTATGTATGTGGACTGTAAAAGGATAAGATGCTATAGTTAGTACATGATGTTTACCAATATGACTCAAATATTTTGTGAAGCTGTCATGATAAATTAAATCATATGAGGTGCTGACCCTGTTGTGAGAGCAGATAAAATGATTTGTCATGATGCTGTCATCATTCCGCAGCACACTGTTCACTAATATGATTTTCTGTTTTTAAGACCATGACATCATCCCTCTGTGTTTGACAGCATAACATTATCTTGAACCTTAAAAGTTGTGTGTATGTGTAGAAGATCATGAGATTATAACGTTGGTGCGTGTGTGCGTGTGTGTGCAGGAAAGCAGGAAATGCAAACTTGTAGTGTATTTGGGTTTTAAAAAAGCTTCAAAGTTTGTAATATCCACTTTGAAATTTCAGACTTAAGTTGCCCTAACGAAAAATGTATCAACCCCTATAAAAATTTCATTAATTATAATCCACATAATAATTCATATTTCCTATTGATGCAAGATTATTTTCCTGCTGTAGCAAACTGGCTCAAATTACGATCCTACATCTGCATTTATGGATATTGACTGCACTGTTTCATTCCTACCTGGCTTTAGATATTGGAGGTACAATGAAGAGATGAGGAACATGGACCCTGGTTACCCCAAACCCATTACGGTGTGGAAGGGCATCCCTGACTCCCCTCAGGGGGCGTTTGTGGACAAGGCCAACGGTAGGCCATCCATTCCTCCCTCTATATCATCCTCTATCTCTGCATCACATCTCTTTCTAATGACTAAAATTGGCCTCTTTGCTCTTTGCTCTATGTAGTATATTTATGCCTTGCTTCTCAGTACAGGAAGTAAATATTGTGTTCTAAAACTTTTTGGCACAAGTCATTTTATTAACTTGTATGAATGTTTCAATGTTGAGTATTTTTCTCCTGTGAACAGGATTCACCTACTTCTACAAGGGGAAGGAGTACTGGAAGTTCAACAACCAGCGGTTGCGTGTGGAGCCGGGCTACCCCCGCTCCATCCTGAGGGACTTCATGGGCTGCGACGGCCTGCCGGCCGACCCCGACTGGGACTGGAGCCCCCCAGAGGTGGAGGAGCGCCACTCCGATAGCAGCAACGGTGACGTGGACATCGTCATCAAGCTGGACAGCACGGGGGGCACAGAGAATGCTGTGGCTATCGCCATCCCCTGCATCCTGGCGCTGTGCATGATGGTCCTGCTCTACACCGTGTTCCAGTTCAGGAGGAAGAGCACGCAGAGACACATACTGTACTGCAAGCGCTCTATGCAGGAGTGGGTGTGAGCTAAACCTGAGAGGGGACTGGAACTGTAGGGGAGGTGGATGGAACTCCCACTAGGGACTATAGGGAAGAGTTGTCAAACTCCTATTGCTCTCTAGCTGTTGAACTAAGCCCCTCTGTGGATGGACAGTATATACAGTACAGTAGAGGAGTCCTCCTAACATGTTCAAAACTGTGCTTTGCCCTCTTTGTGACATGCAAGGTGGAGTGACGCTAGCCGTCTTCATTCAAGACTATGAAGGACTGTGGCTACCAATTCCAACTAAGAGGTGTCTGCTTTAACTCTTGTCTCTATCATTGGGTACACTTAGTAGTTATTGGAGAAAGAGGAAAGCTGTGTGGGACCTATGTCTATCTCTGTCTCTGCACGCCAGTAACAAGCCCTTACTAACTAACTACAGTACAGTGGACCATTTAGCAATAGGCTACTACTTTTTATTTTCATGTCCTAGTAAAGTTCAAGTTGCCCAGACTCTGTGCTTTTTGATTTAATTATCTTTAAAATATTAGTACTTGTGAGGTGGACTGTCTGATACCCAAACCAAATATGACCTTTGACCTATCTTCCCTTCCCAGAAAGGATTACGACTCCGGGATTCTTTGATGGGATGTTTAATTCTAATCTATGGATCTAATATCATCATGACATGACATTACGCTCACATTTTCTTTGGCCATGTCTTTTCCATATCTGCTCATGACCATCCGTCTGGTCTAGTGTGCTCTCTGTCTGTGTGGTCTATGTGAAGCAGCAGCAGCTAGGAACAGAGATGAGAACTGAATAAGACTGTTGTGGCAGTCTGTCTCTAACACAGGGGCCAAAACCATCTCTGCAATATTTTGGAGACTGCCTTAATCATAGCGTACTTTTGTTATGTTTCTTTGTGTGTGTGTGTTTGTGTGTCTGTGTGTGTGTGTGTGTGTGTGTGTGTGTGTGTGTGTGTGTGTGTGTGTGTGTGTGTGTGTGTGTGTGTGTGTGTGTGTGAGAGCGTGCGTGCGTGCGTGCATGTGTGCGTTTACATATCTACAGTACGTAGGCTCTACAAATCTGTATGAAGATGGTGGTATTGGGTTTTACTCTATCCATCCATTTCTGAACATCTTTTGACATGTCGTTCTTCTGACTGGCAGTGACAGCGGTTGGTTTTTCAAGTATCCTTTTACATGGTGTGATAAAAAAAAGTATAAGAAAAGCATAAAGAAAAAGTGGCAAAATCCTGGCTGTGATCTGAAGACATATACAGTGGGGAGAACAAGTATTTGATACACTGCCGATTTTGCAGGTTTTCCTACTTTCAAAGCATGTAGAGGTCTGTAATTTTTATCATAGGTACACTTCAACTGTGAGAGACGGAATCTAAAACAAAAATCCAGAAAATCACATTGTATGATTTTTAAGTAATTAATTTGCATTTTATTGCATGACATAGGTATTTGATCACCTACCAACCAGTAAGAATTCCGGCTCTCACAGACCTGTTAGTTTTTCTTTAAGAAGCCTCCTGTTCTCCACTCATTACCTGTATTAACTGCACCTGTTTGAACTCGTTACCTGTATAAAAGACACCTGTCCACACACTCAATCAAACAGACTCCAACCTCTCCACAATGGCCAAGACCAGAGAGCTGTGTAAGACATCAGGGATCAAATTGTAGACCTGCACAAGGCTGGGATGGGCTACAGGACAATAGGCAAGCAGCTTGGTGAGAAGGCAACAACTGTTGGCGCATTTATTAGAAAATGGAAGAAGTTCAAGATGACGGTCAATCACCCTCGGTCTGGGGCTCCATGCAAGATCTCACCTCGTGGGGCATCAATGATCATGAGGAAGGTGAGGGATCAGCCCAGAACTACACGGCAGGACCTGGTCAATGACCTGAAGAGAGCTGGGACCACAGTCTCAAAGAAAACCATTAGTAACACACTACGCCGTCATTAATTAAAATCCTGCAGCGCACGCAAGGTCCCCCGGCTCAAGCCAGTGCATGTCCAGGCCCGTCTGAAGTTTGCCAATGACCATCTGGATGATCCAGAGGAGGAATGGGAGAAGGTCATGTGGTCTGATGAGACAAAAATAGAGCTTTTTGGTCTAAACTCCACTCGCCGTGTTTGGAGGAAGAAGAAGGATGAGTACAACCCCAAGAACACCATCCCAACCGTGAAGCATGGAGGTGGAAACATCATTCTTTGGGGATGCTTTTCTGCAAAGGGGACAGGACGATTTGAGGGGAGGTTGGATGGGGCCATGTATCGCGAGATCTTGGCCAACAACCTCCTTCCCTCAGTAAGAGCATTGAAGATGGGTCGTGGCTGGGTCTTCCAGCATGACAACAACCCGAAACACACAGCCAGGGCAACTAAGGAGTGGCTCTGTAAGAAGCATCTCAAGGTCCTGGAGTGGCCTAGCTAGTCTCCAGACCTGAACCCAATAGAAAATCTTTGGAGGGAGCTGAAAGTCCGTATTGCCCAGCGACAGCCCCGAAACCTGAAGGATCTGGAGAAGGTCTGTATGGAGGAGTGGGCCAAAATCCCTGCTGCAGTGTGTGCAAACCTGGTCAAGACCTACAGGAAACGTATGATCTCTGTAATTGCAAACAAAGGTTTCTGTACCAAATATTAAGTTCTGCTTTTCTGATGTATCAAATACTTATGTCATGCAATAAAATGCAAATGTATTACTTAAAAATCATACAATGTGATTTTCTGGATTTTTGTTTTAGATTCCGTCTCTCACAGTTGAAGTGTACCTATGATAAAAATTACAGACCTCTACATGCTTTGTAAGTAGGAAAACCTGCAAAATCGGCAGGGAATCAAATACTTGTTCTCCCCACTGTACAGTAGATACAGTCAATGTGAATACAATATACAGTAGGTCCCAATGAACATGTTACAGTATATTGTCTCTGAATTGCCCATGGTTGCCCTCCATGATATTAAAATCAATGTGGTTGTGTGATGTCAAGTTCCTCTCGACGTGTGTGAGATGACTCAGTATGTGAGAGTCCCGGTGAACGTGAAGAAACTTCTTTTTACATTTTTAGGGATTTGAGTTGTCCACATTTGGTACTTCTTGTTTTTTTAACTTAAAAATATTTGATAGAATCAGGATATTGAACTCCATATCAATAGCTATATCAATACTATACAGTGCTTAGTGAAAGTCTACACAACCTTGTAAAAGTTTTTACATTTTCTTGCCTTAAATTCCCATCTAAAAATAGATTAAATATATATATTTTTTTTTTTACTCATCTACACAATCTAGTCCACAGTGAAAGAACATGGCAAATAAAGGAACTTTTTGGGACAAATCCAACACAACACATCACAGAGTATTTCCAAGTATTGTGGGTGCAGCATCATGTTATGTGTATGCATGTCACCGGCAAGAACTGGGGAGTTGGTCCAGATTTAAAAAATGATGAAAGGACTATGTAAAAATGTTAAGGAAAATCTGCCTCAGTCCTCTGAAGACCTAACAGTGGGATATAATATTATTTTTCAGTGTGGCAAATATATGAATTTTAAGGCCAGAATGGCTTTCGAAGAGGTGTTTAGTGTTCCTAAGTGGTCCAGTCTCAGTCCAGACTTAAATCTTCTTGAAAATCAGAGACAGATTTGAATATTGCTATACATCAATAATTTCCAACCAAATTGACTGAGCTTGAGCAATCTTTCCATGACATAGACTGATCAGGTGAATCCAGGTGAAAGCTATGATCCCTTATTGATGTCACTTGTTAAATCCACTTCAATCAATGTAGATGAAGGGGAGGAGACGGGTTAACGAAGGATTTTTAAGCCTTGAGACAATTGAGACATGGATTGTGTATGTGTGCCATTCAGAGGGTGAATGGTTAAGACAAAAGATTGAAGTGCCTTTGAACGGGGCATGGTAGAAGGTGGCAAGCGCACCGGTTTGTGTCAAGAACTGCAATTGGGTTTTAGACGCTCAACAGTTTCCCGTGTGGTTCACCACCCAAAGGACAACCAGTCAATTTGACACAACTGTGGGAAGCATTTGAGTCAACATGGGCCAGAATCCCTGTGGAATGCTTTTGACACCTTGTAGAGTCCATGCCCCGACGAATTGAGGCTGTTCTGAGGGCAAAAGGGAGGGGGGTGCAACTCAATTAAAGGAAGCTGTCCTTAATGTGTGGGACACTTACTGAAGCTGTTTTCTGTTAGGAACATGCACAGCCGAGGGCAGGGGGCATGGTTCTCTTTTGAAAGACTCTCTCTAATAAGAATGATTTCCTCTGAATCCACTGATTCGGTCACTCATCTGTAGAATGTTTTTGTATTTCCCCTGCATGCTTGCATTCAGTTCGTTTAGTTTCCCAAATATGTCTGTTACATAGGCAAGGAGACACATGTTCTTTTCATTACACAGAAAGTCAACCAAGTCTCTTTTTTTTCATCCATTGTGAGTGACAACAGTTCCTCTCTCAATGCGAAAAATCTTTCAAAAAATTCCCCTCTATAACCACCAAGCCTCGGTGTGAAACAAAACATTTGTCATGCTCTGATCCCATATCTCCACATAGTTTTGCGAACAGGCGTGTGCGCAATGGATGTGGTTTGATCGAAGTTACCTGCTGCAGTATATCTCTGAGTTCTGTGCTCAGCTCTTTTGCCGCTGGTTGCTCTCGGTGTGTCATACAATGCTTCCATAAGGCAGAGGGAGACAGATTCAATACTAGAGTGCAGAGGGTTGCCCGCCATCCCGCCATAGATGGAGAACCATCTGTGGAAAAGCCCACCATTCGATCCCATGGAATCCGTTTTTCGTCAATGTAGCCACGCGGCACACTGAACAGAACAATATGTCCTCGTGAATAGCATGCCCCGACAAAAGTCAATGCATGGGCATCTCGGTCCTCACAGCTAGCGTCCATTTGTAGAGCATAAGCTGGGGAGTTTTTGAGTCGTTCAGTCAGAGTTTCCTGTTGATTGCTAGCAATAGCATAAATTATTTGTTTAACAGTGTTATTCTGA